TTTTATATTTCCCAGGTGTAATCCTTGTAACAAGACCTTTATTTGGGTACTACCAAACTTGACATTTTGACCTTGTTCTTGGAGTTTGACACACTTTTACATCAAAATTCCAAACTTTTACTTATAATTTTTGAACAGTTGGTGCTATGACTTTCACATGTCACATATGTTTTCTTTGATACAAGACCTTTCCTTGGATACCAACATCTTTGACCCTTTGACCATGACCTAGGAGTTTGACCTACTTTTAAAAAACTTTAACTTGACAAAAACTTTGAACGGTAAGGATAAGGGCTTTCAAACTTCACATATGAAATCCTTGTGTCAAAGCCTTGTACTGGTTACCACTTTGACCCTTTGACCTTGACCTTGGAGTTGACCAACTTTTTAAAATCTTTAACCATAGCAACAACATTTGAACGATTAGGGTTAGGGCTTAAATACTTCACGTATGCAATCCTTATTACAAGGCCTTTCTTTAGGAACCAACAATCTTGACCCTTTGACCTTTACACTGGACTTATCCTTGGTCATAACTTTTGAACAGGTTGTGCAAGGGATTTCATATTTCACTATTGTATTTCTTGTGAGAAGAACTTACTCTGGGTACCAACATATTTCATTTATTTGCATTTAAGAAAAGTTTAATCTTCACTATTACCATACTGTGTTTTACAAACACATCTTGTTTTTTTTTTTCTTTGGATTCGTGGTGAAAATTAATTAAAAATGCTAAAATCATTTATCTTTGGGGCCGATTTGATGCTTTGTATCAAACATACAAATTTTATACTATCCTAAAAGGCGCCATACCACCATCTGCTGTTGACGGCATTAAGGCTGCGCCTCAAGAAGTTCAACAACCTGACAAACAGGAGGGCAAGGTACGACGTGAGTGCCCTCAGGTGAAGACAGCATTCCATCTCAGCTTATCAAATAGATTCCAGCTACTACAGGACCAGCTAGAAAAAAGATACCAATATCAAGACCAAATCGCAGCACATCAAGGAAATGTGGCAAGGCACATGCGAGGAAGTCCTAGGCAGAAGAAAGTATCTGCACAAGGAGTGGATCTCTGGTGATACCATGAGGAAAGTGGAGGAGAGGAAGGAAAAGAAAGCGGTGCTGAATACAAGCAGGACAATATCAGCAAAGACAAAAGCTCAAGAGGACTACACAGCCATAGATAAAGAAGTTAAGAAAAGCATTAGGAAAGATAAAAGGGATTACATCGACAACCTGTCTAAACAAGCTGAAGAAGCTGCAGGAAGGAAATTTGAAAGAACTGTATATGATCACAAAGAAGCTCTCCAACAAGTTCCAGCAAACAGACAAGCCAGTGAAGGACAAGAACGGGAAAACTCTCAAAGCAACAGAAGAACAATTGAAGAGGTGGGTAGAACACTTCGGAGAACTATTAAATAGACCAACACCAGAAACACCACCGGACATACAACCAGCCAATACAGACCTCTCGATCAACTGCGACAAGCCAACAAAAACAGAGATCAGGAGAGTAATTAATAAACTTAAAAATAGAAAAGCGGCAGGGCCTGATGAGATACCAGCAGAAACCAACAAAGCTGATACAGAGACAGCCGTTTAACATCCTATACAACCTCTTCAACAAGATCTGGGAAGAAGAGAACATTCCGAAAGAGCTGCCAAAGAAGGGAGATCTGAGGACTGCAGTAATTACAGGGAGATCATGCTCCTGTCAGTGCCTGATAAGGTCCTCAACAGAATACTTCTCGAGAGAATGAAAGAAGCAGTAGACCCAAAGCTCCGGGACCAACAGGCTGGTTTTAGAGCCAACAGATCATGTCTGACCAGATAGCCAGTCTGCGTATCATTATAGAACAATCACTGGAGTTGAAGTCCCCCCTCTATGTCAACTTCATCGACTATGAGAAAGCATTCGACAGCGTTGACCAAGAGACATTGTGGAAGATACTGAGGCACTATGGAGTACCAGAGAAGCTAGTCTCGCTGATTCGAAACACCTATCAAGGCATGATACGCAGGGTTGCCCATGGTGGCCAGATGTCTGAGAGTTTCGAGGCCAAGACAGGAGTTCGACAAGGATGCTTACTGATACCATTTCTTTTTCTCTTGGCATTGTTTGGATTACGAGGACTACCACATCAGGCAGGAACAATGGTATACAGTGGACACTCCTGACGCAACTCGACGATCTTGAATTTGCAGATGACTTGGCTCTCCTTTCACACAACCAAAGCCAGATGCAGGATAAAACAACTCACCTTGCAACAACACCGGTATGAACGGGACTCAAAATCAACTCGGAGAAAACAGAATTGATGAAGATAAACACCACTGTCCAAGCACCAGTCACAGTTGGTGGTGAGCCCATCAAAGAAATTGGGTCCTTCATGTACCTGCGGAGTGTGGTGGACAGACAGGGTGGTACAGATTGCAACATCAAGTCAAGAATTTGCAAGGCAAGAACTGCATTTACCATGTTAAAGAACTTCTGGGCCTCAAAGAATATACGTGTTACCACCAAACTGCGGATCCTCAATTCTGATCAGTAAAGTCCGTCCTATTGTACGATGCAGAGACGTGGAAGATGACTAAAGCTACCCTGCAGAAGATCCAGACATTTTACAACACAGCATCTTCAACATCCGATGGCCTGAAAGGATCTCCAATAAAGAACTATGGAAGAGAGCAGGACAGGAACCAATGGACTTACAAATAAGACAGAGGAAGTGGGGCTGGATTGGACACACACTAAGGAAGTCACCATCCAACATCACACGCCAGGCCCTGACTTGGAACCCACAAGTCAAAAGAAAAAGAGGACATCCTAGAAACACCTGGAGGCGTGACTCGGAGTCAGAGCTAAAGACACAGAATATGACCTTGCATAATGCAGCCAGAGCAGCTCAGAATCGTGTTCGTTGGAGGACTGTCGTCGATAGCCTAATGTTCCTCACGGAACGACAGGCCTAAGTAACTAAGTAAGTAAAAGACGTCATATTTCAACGGGGGTAAATTTTCATAGGACTCTTATGGGGTTCTTTTACTACAAAAAATGATTTTTTTTTTCCTATGGCTGTGGTGGTCATTTTTTAACCAAGGCAATCTTGTGAAGTCAAAAACCGATAAAAAGAATTGTGTATCTTAGTGTACCCCCCCCCCAAAACTATAGGAGACGTCATTATTCGATTTCTATTTTTAGGGGTCATTAAAAATCGACATAAAGAATTATTAACTTTACACAGGTACCTCGAAAAGAAAAATTAAGAATTTCACAGAAATTTCTATATTTGTATTATAACGTTAAGCATAATCTTTTCTGTATGAAAAAAAAAATAATGTCATACATTTATCGGTAATTTAAATCAATTGTGTTTCTTAACTTCATACTCAGAAGAAATAAGACAAGGAATTGTGTAAACGTGACCTTCCCAAAAACCGATAAATAAATTGAAATTTGGTAAGTTGTATTGAAATCATGAAGGAGACGTGGATTTCACAGAAATTTCTATTTTTAATATCATCAAAAGCAAAAACCGATATACAGAATTATGTACCTTAGTGTAGTCTACTTGTATGCTAAGTTAAATTGAAATCATACCAAAACTGTAGGAGGAGTAGCATTTTCAAAGAATTTCACAGAAATTTTTATTTTAAGTAACCAAGGCAACACCGTTCATCGAAATCAAAAACCGATACACAGAATTATGTATTATATTGAAAAAAAATTTAAATTCAAGTCCCTCACCTAAATCCCCCCATTTCAAGAGATACTTTACTTTTTTGTTTACAGACAGACGGACAGACGGACGGACGCCGGACGCATTACAATCGCATAAGGGTCTCTGACCAGTTGCACTAAAGATAATGTCATACATTTATCGAGTAAAACAATTCACTAAAATTACCTTCATGTATCAGTCTTGTTTGATTGTTGTCCTATATACACGACTACATAACTCTCTCTCTCTCTCTCTCTCTCTCTCTCTCTCTCTCTCTCTCTCTCTCTCTCTCTCTCGTGCAAAGCGTGATAACTCTATAAATCTCAAAATTCATGGTCATGCTATAAATACCCAAGCGCCCATTCCTCTGAAGTGCATCCTGAAAAAAAATTCATTGAAGACGAAAAATGTCCAGTAACGAATTATGAATTATTCTTAACGGGAGTCTGTCAAATTTTATCAAAATTATAATATTTAAAGAATAAACTATCGTGTATAATCGTTACTATCTGGATCCGCGCCAAGTTGAATCTATTCGTTTATTTTTCGGTTAAATAAATGTTCTTTTGGTATATATCCATTAGAATTTCAAGAGGGTGTGTACAAATATCTGTATACCACAGATCTAATGTTACCAATGATAAAATTCAATATACCCCCATCTCTTAATGCTATAATAATATGACCCCCCCCCCTCCCCCGAGTCTTATAACTACCCACACTGCACGATAAACAGTTAAGGAAAAGAGAAGCTGTATAAATGAAGAATTAGAAGCTTGTTACTTACTATCTTGTCCGGCCACTTGTTGCTCTAGTTTCCTGAACCCTGCCTTGTTCTTCCGCGAATGCTGAACGAATTCCGGGAATTTGTTTATTTATCTTCCTGCTTGTCGAGTACTAGTTTCGGTTTGGTCGTGCATGCACATACTAGTAATTCAATCCAATTAATTATTTTTGGAAAAAAAAATTTTTTTAACTATTTTAACTTTCAAAATTTATTTTAGACTTCAACACCACATTCGACGTTATTTTATTAAGCGAACTTTATTTTCATGACTTGGTTCTTTGTAATTACCTTTATTCGCAAGGGGGGGGGGGGTATGATAAACTTTTCAATCTTCTTATTTTAAATTATTCGATTAGTACAATTCTTCATTTGTGTGCAGCACATTATCTCGACCATAAAAAAATTGAAAAGACAAATTTTAAAATTTATACATATTTATTAAAAATAAATAATTATGCACAATATATACATTTTAAGTATTTTGGCACTTTTTGGTGACAACACAATAACATGTGAGTCAATATTGATGAGAGTATCGGGGTATTTTCCTCACTTTGTTTCAATGTTCAACAGCATCGTTAATTGCCTTGACAACTTTCGAACTTTTGTTGATTGTTGCATGTCTCTCTACTGTAACAGCACTGAATTGTTTTTCCTTTGGTTGTTCTTGGTCCTCTTTATTTCAACACATATACTCATCGGAACGCAGTGGGATCAATTTTTGTATTTCCGGGCAGCACTGGATGACGTCAGGAGATTCCCCAAGGTAGGAGAGCACCTGTTACAAAAAAATCAAATCTGATTAACAAGTTTTACAGAAGGAAAAAGGAGAAAACTTTTTTTAAATATCGAGTTTACCTTACAATCCCCTGTTTGAAAAAAAAATTAAAGCGCTATTTCACAATGTCTATTTTTAAAATACTGCATTAATATTTCGTTAATTTTTCTATGATTATCGACGAGTCTGTTTGTGCCTTCCTTATTTTTCCCTACCTTTTGCATTAGTTTTCGTGTTTCCTTATATTGGCTATACTGAGTCGCTCCTTCTAGTAGCAGTGGTAAGGTATCGGCCCGCAAACATTCCATTGCAAACTCCCAACAGGCCGTGTGGAGGTCCGGAAACTCAAACATTTTCGCAGCATTGATCATTCCTGAAACACAAGTTTAATAAAAATCATATTTATAAATAATACAGAAGATTTTTTATTGCAAAATAATCATAAGAAATTGAATTTCATTTTTAATTTAAAAGTCAGTATCTAAGATACATTAGGATCAGCAATTTTAATATAATACATTGTATCTTACCAATTACAGTTCTGGCATCCACGGAAACAACTCCACAATGGATGTAACGCATAAGACGCTCAAAGACGCTGATGTCGAAATCCTTTATCTCAATTGTGACGCTTTGTGGGGCGGATTTCTCCTTTTGAGGTGTGCATTTCTTCCTGGCCAGCGCTTTTTTCACTGATTGGATCCCTCTTTTAAGTGTTGAAGTTTCCTTTACTGCGGTATTTGTTTGGTTACGACTTTTCAAAATCATCTGGTACATCAGTCTTTACATAAAAAAGAAGGAATATAATTATTTCTGAACAGAAATGTAAAATATTTTTTTATGTACCTGCTATGCGTACAAGCTTGTATGGTAAGCAATACATGCAATTCCAAACACAAGAGAAAAGTAAAAATTATATAATCGTCGTACACAGGCTACATTGAATCTTATTATTTTAAATATGATATGTTAAATATTATAATATACCTGCTGCGGGTAGCCAAAATAGCTCGAATGCCATATACGGGGATCTTTTCCGGTCCAACCAAAAACATGACATCACAGAGATCTGGTACGGAGATGACGTATTTGAGATCTTCGCAGAGTTCGTACCGGTTCTTCAGCACCATGATAAATGGATTACAATCTTTGTCTTGGGCCCAAAAATCTCCTATAATAAATTTTTAAATAAAAATATAATAACAAGAAACTGAGTTAAACAAATTAAAATTGTAATTCAAATTCAATACTATAACTGAACTGAAAATTAACGAAAACTAAAATAATTTTTCATAAGCTTCAAGACTGGCTTCGATAATAAAATGTTCAAAACATGTACCTTCATCAGTGTAACCCATTTTCCAGTTAGTATCCTTATATGCTTATTATACATGTATCTCTATTCCAGTAAGATCGAAATACATGTACATGTATATGAAATGTATTTCTGGTCGGATTGATTCCTCATGAATGAAATCAATATTATGATCAGTATTTTCAACTGTACAAATTTACAAGAGCGAATATAAAGAGAAATCTAGTCAGATTGTCGTACTTTTACATCAATGTTTTCATTTTTAGGCCACAAAAATAATATTTTCATTTTAGGGACTTGTCACATTCCATGAGAACAATGAAACATGTAAACAAACAAGTTGTGTGATTATGTTAATGACAGACTACGTCGACAGCTAGCGAGGCCTACAACCTAGATTTTTATCAGATGCCACTAACCATGCTAACTGTAATCTGATTAGGGTAAGTGGCACTTCAAAAACATGACAAATAATGTTAAAAAGTCCTTATATGCCATGAAAATGTATTTTTTAAATGTTATTGGAAGCATTTTATATTATTAATTTGAAAAAAAAAATCAAAAATTACCGTCTTGTCTGATAAGATCGAGCTCCATGGTCTCTCTTTTTTCCAATTATTTTCTCCTTCTATGGAATAAAATATTTTTCTTTGATTGTGAAGATAAAAGCATAGGTGCTTATATACATGCACTATAATAGTCACCTATAGTAATACTTTATCTCTCATAATTATGTTTTTCCGATAATTAATTAGGCACGTGTCATGCACAGTGCATTTTAAGTAAATTGACTCTAATTATTATAATATATCCAGACTTTATTCATTACCTTTAGTATGTGTTATTAGTTATTTGAGAGTAGTAGTTTCAGGCGGGGATCCAGGAATTGAAGTTAGAGGGGGCGCCAACAGTAGGCAAGGGGTCTGGGGGCCGCCTTGAGGCCCCTAGTGGGTCCAGGGCAACGCCCTGGTGGGGTCCAAGAGATTTTGAGAGAACCAAGTAGTATTTACATTTTCTAGACGAAAATGTGATTTACGTTAACTTTGACAATTTTAGTTCTTTCCGCCACTGAGTTTCCGAATAATAACTGCATGTTCTTTTTTATACGCACATTTTTTCTCCAAATATTTTGAAACATTGCATGAAAATATATTTCTTTTTTAAAAATGACCTTTATCTTTCAGTATTATCAATTCTTTTTATTTTATCGTAAAAAATAAGAACTTTAAAAAGATTAAGAACGCTATACAAAGTATACTTTCAAGGATTTAGAATTAAGGATAAAATGGCATATATATATTTTCATTTCCCATCGGGTTCGACTTACAGAGAAAAAAAATGTCTGCGCCCATGAAAACATGATTGTAAATAAACACCCAAGAACGTTCATTTTAAAACGGCTTCTAAACCAATACAGTCAAGTGAGATTTCTCCAAAGTAAGAAAATGTTCTGGAAAGTGAATAGTTTTTTAAGTTAAGACCTTAAGAACCGAACAGCAGAAAGTCGACATTTTTCCTCTTTACACACCTGTCATCAAAACCTTTTTTTTTTGGTACTTCCCGTGATTAAAATATATGTTAATTATACGATATGAGGAATCAGAAATTAAACGTAGGTGTGGCCAATAAACCTCTAAATTAAATCTGCAGTTATGTTTCAGTAAATTGATATTTTTGTAGCTGAATTGACACTTATGCAATGTTTTAAGTTGCTCAATAGATACATACATTTGCTCAATATTTTTGAATTGGTCCTGTAATGGAAGGGAGAAAATTTGATCTGTTCATTACACTGATGCTTGTACTTGGATGAGTGTTGTACTAATCAAGTTTAATATCTTGTCCAACACTTTTTTTTCCATATGTTGTCTTTTCAGGATAATATCCTTTGGATCTGATGAGATTAATTTTTATTAAACTTAGATATATAAACCTATTAAATGCAATTATATGACTTGTATAAAAATGTTAAGTAACATCATTCATGACAGATAAATTCTGAATTTCCTCCTAAATTGGACAGGTTCTTCAACAGAAGAGTATGATCTTGTTGTTATTGGTGGGGGGTCAGGAGGGCTAGCTTGTGCCAAAGCAGGTAGGATTTTATTTGTAGCCAAATTTATCTTTATATAAAAAAGACAATACATGTAGATTCATATAAACATGTTTGCTGTATTTGCATTGTATTATTTGACTACACTTGCTATTTGTTTAGCCTCCCAGCTTCAAAAGAAGGTGGCCGTCTTGGATTTTGTGACCCCTTCTACTCAAGGTAAAATAATCTCTAGCGTACTAGTACTAGTTCTATATTAATGATAGTGTTCTTAAATGATATTGGATTGATCATCATACATTACAGGGTTGTAATAAGTAATCAACATGGGTTATTTTTGCGCTAATAAATAGTTTAGTGTTGTTAAATTTTGAAACTGTTAATATATAGAATATAATTACTACCTGTACTGTGTACCATTACTAGGGACAACATGGGGGTTAGGAGGTACTTGTGTCAATGTGGGGTGTATCCCTAAGAAGTTGATGCACCATGCAGCTCTCCTGGGGGAGGCCATTAAAGATTCTAAGGCCTATGGTTGGAGTGTTCCAGACCTAATCCAGAATGACTGGTAAGTCAAATCGAAGCAAAACATGTTTAACAGAGAATACTATCAGCTAAACACATATTTCTCCAAAGTTAAAGGTCATACGAAACAATGTCCTGAGCATTTTAGGTTGTATATGGAAACAAGTATATCTGAGCAACATTAATCAGCCTGAAATAACATTTTGGATTTTTTACGCAAGTTGGAGGCAGCAGAGTTGATCAAAGATACTTGACTGCGAAGATGAGCTTCAGCTAGCACGGCTTATCTCCCTTTGCTTATGACGTCAGTAAGACCCACTCGCTACATTCTGTACTAGTATTTATTTAGCCGATCATGTCTTATGCAGCGTAATTTTTAAGAAATATCATTGTCTTGACTAAAACTTTGTATAAATATATGATTTTCAAACCAGATAGTGTTTGTCTGTTAACAACCTGTTGTATGTTTGCAAGATTTTAGCATGTTTTATCCGTGTTATTTATTGTCATCCTTCTACATATCAATATAAATAGAGAGAGACGATGTCCAAAGAGAGCAGAACTTCTGTACTCGAGTTATATATAAATATAGATGCTGTCAAATAGCAATTACAATTGAATAAATTTCTAACACAAAAATATGATTTGTTAATTTTCCAATTAAATTTTTTTATAAGCATGATCAGATTATGAGCAAATACCGGTACATATACAGTTTCTCGATCGGTAGCACGCGCATAAGTAAAGCTGGATTCGATCTATTGACAGCGGTATGTGAAAGTGAAACTAAACCTGCATGCGGATAAATGATTTCATTTATTTATGGAAAATGAAATGATTCTATCGCTTCCTGGTCTTCTCCTCTCTCAGTTACTTTGGTTTTCCAGGCTATCTCATTGACTCTTTTTTTTTTTACCAAAGTCGGTACATTTACACATAACACTGTGCCTTTTTGAATATGTAATAATCTTAAAAAGTCAGCCTCGGACTTTACACGCAAATCTATGTTATCCTACGCTCGTACGTTTCTGTGTGTATTGGCAGATCAAATTTTTTAAATTTGCATAAGTTTATTTTAACAAATATCATATTCTGCTTTTAAAAAAGAATGTTTAACTGTAAAAATATTAATTTTTAAAATTGTTAGGTTCAGTCTCGCAAACAATGGGCATTGGGGCATGGGTTTCTTTTTAACGGATCATCCTATGCACCCACTGTATGAGTATTTTCAAACTGTAGTTACTCAATGAAACTGTTATAGAAGTATAGAACTGCACCGTACTAGTAACATTACAGTACATGTATATTAACGTGCATACTCGTAATGCTGGTAAGTTTTTAAAATCACTTTTCTTGTGACAGCAAAATTATGATAATGTCGTCATCAACCTATTTCTGTATATCATTTTCATTAGTTCTCGTGTTTCAGAATGCAGAAGCGTGCATTCAAATACGCCGACTTTTTAAAATAATTTATAGATCCACGTTTATCATGAAGTTCAATATCCCTGTGTTTATTTAGGAAAAAAAAGGGGGGGTTACATCATGTATCATATACCTATAAAAAATCAAACAAGAAGATTGTTGTTTATGAGGTATTAATTTAAAATAAGTAATCTTGGTTGGGGTGAAAAATCTTGATTTCAACGGGGTTTTCATCAGGATCATCTTACTATGAAAAGCTCTCGTTTTCAGTTGCTGTGCCTAAATTAACGATAAGTTCAAATAAAGTGAAATGTTCCTTAGAATCAGGTAGCTCATCGAAAAACTTAATCACATTTATATCCACAAAAAAGTCTAAAATTAACTCAATAAAATACAGTAAAATTACACTAGATCTAATGCGTTGTTAACATCAATGGGTCTTTGTGACGTCATACAAACACAAAATCAAGAACGATAAACGAGTAACAAATTTATCAAGTGGACAAGTTTAGGCCTTCATTTTTCTGTTAAACAACGTCTTTATGTTTAATAAGTAAAATCCTAGTGTAATGAACTGTTTATGACCTTTAATCAATGGTAGTTGTTTTTTTATGTGCAACAAAGCAAAGCGAAGCAAAGAGATTGAGGTTAAAGAATTGCAATATGGAGAAACATGCACTGTATTAGAATTACAATAATGAAGAGGAAGGTATACGGGTACATCATAAAATATAGAAAGATGTCTTTTTTTTCATTCATTATATACTAAAAAAAATTTTTTTTCAATTTCAGGGAAACGCTGTCAACTGCTGTTCAGAATCACGTGAAATCCTTAAACTGGGGCCACAGGGTACAGCTCAGGGACAAGTAAGCCTCTGTAACACTCAGGTCAATATAAAGAGACTACAACCTATAAAGACTACAAGATACTGTAAACCAACTTTTATTCGCATGTGAGAACTTTTCTTGAAGTTCGCGAGAGCCTGGTATTCGCGAATATTTCATGCCGTGAACCAGTACTTAAACTCTCTGTGTCTATTCACCACAGATAAAAAATGCTTAATTGCGAAAATTAATCGTGACGAAGAAGTTTACCCCTGGTAAATCGCGAAATAAAGTCATAGCGAATGAAAGTTGGTTTACAATATAGGGACTACACTGTAAATCATATAGGGACTGCAGCATATAGAGACTACAATATGTGGGAACTACAGTATATAGATTTTACACCATAGAGAGATCTTATCATACATAGAGACTACAGCATAAAGTGACTATGGTCTACAATATAAATATATTTCTGCATATAAAGACTATAACAACAAGAGGCCCATGGGCCACATCGCTCACCTGAGCACCAAGGGTAGGACTAGTATAAAATGGCTTTTTATTGTAAAGTTTAAATCCAAAAGTAGTCCCAGGACCAATCATGGATTTGCTACTTTTTAGAAAATGATTGAGAAGAAGATTTTTAAAGAATTTTCCTATATATTTCTATGTAAAACTTTGGTCGGCCATTTTGGCCCCGCCCTACCCCCGGGGGTCATGATTTGAACAAAATTGAATCTACACTACCTGAACATGCTTCCATATAAATATGATGAATAATGGCTTTGTCATTCTTGAGAAGAAGATTTTTAAAGAATTTTCCTATATATTACTATGTAAAACTTTAGTCGGCCATTTTGGCCCCGCCCTACCCCCAGGGGTCATGATTTGAACAAACTTGAATCTACACTACCTGAGCATGCTTCCATATAAATATGATCAATTATGGCTTTGTCATTCTTGAGAAGAAGATTTTTAAAGAATTTTCCTATATATTTCTATGTAAAACTTCGGTCGGCCATTTTGGCAACATGATTTGGACAAACTTGAATGTACACTACCTGAGCATGCTTCCATATAAAAATGATGAATAATGGCTTTGTCATTCTTGAGAAAAAGATTTTTAAAGAATTTTTCTATATATTTCTATGTAAAACATTGGTCGGCCATTTTGGCCCCGCCCTACCCCCGGTGGACATGATTTGAACAAACTTGAATCTACACTACCTGAGCATGCTTCTATATAAGTATGATGAATTATGGCTTTGTCATTCTTGAGAAGAAGATTTTTAAAGAATTTTCCTATATATTTCTATGTAAAACTTTGGTCGGCCATTTTGGCCCCGCCCTACCCCCAGGGGTCATGATTTGAACAAACTTGAATCTACACTACCTGAGCATGCTTCCATATAAATATGATCAATTATGGCTTTGTCATTCTTGAGAAGAAGATTTTTAAAGAATTTTCCTATATATTTCTATGTAAAACTTTGGTCGGCCATTTTGGCCCCACCCTACCCCCGGGGGTCATGATTTGAACAAACTTGAATCTACACTACATGAGCATGCTCCCATATAAATATGATGAATTATGGCTTTGTCATTCTTGAGAAGAAGATTTTTAAAGAATTTTCCTATATATTTCTATGTAAAACTTTGGTCGGCCATTTTGGCCCCGCCCTACCCCCGGGGGTCATGATTTGAACAAACTTGAATCTACACTACCTGAGGATGTTTCCCCATAAGTTTCATCTTTCCTGGCACAGTGGTTCTTGAGAAGAAGATTTTTAAAATATACCACTAAATTTTCATTAATTCCCAATTATCTCCCCTTGAATAAGTGGCCCTTCATTTGAACAAACTTGAGTCCCCTTCACCCAAGGATACTTTGTGGCAAGTTTGGTTGAAATTAGCCCAGCGGTTCTTGAGAAGAAGTCGAAAATGTGAAAAGTTTACAGACAGATGGACAGACAGGCAGACGGACGCCTGACAAAATGTGATCAGAAAAGCTCACTTGAGCCTTCGGCTCAGGTGAGCTAATAAACACTACACAGCATATAGAATAAACAATACAGCATACAGAGATTACAACTGCACAATACAGCTTATAGAGATTACAGCAAATAGATATTTCCATACAAGAACACAACATTACATAGAGCTTGCAGCATTAAGACAATACTACAGGTATCTTCAAATGAAGGATATGGAGATAACGAACAGTATTCAATATCGAAGTCCATAGAACAATACAAAATAGGAGCAGAGCAAACATGGACCCTTTAAAACATCAGAGGTGGGATCAGGTGCCATGGAGGAGTGAGCATCCCCTGCTGACCGGTCACACCCGCCGTGTGTTCCTTGTTCATCGTCAGTTCAGTGTATAAATAACGAACTAACATTTAGTAGGAAAAATTGACTCAATGATAAATTTATTTGCTGACAAGGTCATTGTATCAACCAAAGAACTTATGAAATGATGACTTTAAATGAGACTGCTGATATTCCTGTTTCATCAACTTGTTTGTAAATAATTTGCCTCGTTTTAGAAATTGTTCATAAGTTGAATCTTCATGAGTTGAATTAATTAAGAGAATTTTAAATGGCAGCCCAAAACCTGTAAATTTATATCTGAGGTTTAAACTGAAATTGTGATTCCACTGGAAAAGAGTATTGGATACATTACTAGAATTTCTATCATAACTTTAAAAAAGAGTACACACAAAATGTTAATTTGTTATTCATTATATTTAATTATAGAGGTGTAGAGTACATCAATGGTTTGGGGAGTTTTGTAGACAGACAGACAGTTAAAGTTACAGACAACAAGGGGAAGCAGGTAGTTATAACATTCAGCTCTGTTATAGGGAGAAAAAACACAAGAATATAGGACAGTTAATCAGATATAATAAGTTAATAAAAAATATATTGATGATTGTATGACTCTTTAAAAATGTAGAAATCTTAATGCATTGTGAGAATATAGAGAACAAGTTGTATGTATCAATATATTTAAAAAATCTCACTGAAATGTAAAGTTATCTATTGCATTTTTTTTTAAAATTGTTTAGAATCTACATGACTTGTAATTACGAAAGTATAAAAGGATAAAATCTTTATCTATTTATTTTATAATAATAAATAAATGATTTAATTTTAGAAACTTTTGAAAACCAAGAACACTGTGATAGCCGTAGGAGGCAGACCATATATTCCATCTCATGTGAGTTAGAGTCAGTTCAGTAGGAGTCTCACCTTATATTTCATCTCGGGTGGGCAAGGCTTAAGTCAGTAGAGTTAAACCTTACATTCTGTCCGAGATGGGTTACGGTTGCCTCATTTATGTAGGAGTGAGACCTTATACTCCATCTCAGGTAAATCAGGGTCTGCACAGTAGGCATCAAACTATAATATATTCCATCTCACTGTCAGTTCAGAAGAAGCCAGACTTTATCTCCCATCTCAGGTGGGTCAGGATCTATCTGCTCAACTGGAGTCAAACCTTACTTCCTATCTCGGGTTGGTCAAGGTGATTTCTACTGCAAGGAATCTAATATTTTTATATATAAATTTTATTTCTATTAATTTTTAGATACCCGGTGCTTTGGAGTATTCCATTTCTAGTGATGACCTTTTTTGGTTGAAGAAATCACCAGGAAAAACGTAAGGAAATTATGAACAAAAATACCTAAGCAGGTTCTCAGTTTTAAAGATTGTCGTTCATATTCTGCTCTCATCTTTTCTTGTAATTCTTCTCTTTTTATCTGTATACTTTCAGATTGGTTATAGGTGCTAGCTGTATCCTTAAATAAATAAACAAGCAAGAAACTTTTGAATTTCATTTAACAGAGATCTGTGCATTTGTTAACTTTTATTTTAAAAAAAATATTTTTTAGCATCTTTTGGCTTTTCTTGATAAATTTTGAATATACCATGTTGTACAATTGCATAAAAACTGAGATCTTGGATATAATTGTAAAACCACTTAACCAAGTCAGATATAGCTTTAGAGTGTGGTGGTTTTCTACGTGGTTTAGGGTTAGACACCACAGTAATGGTCCGATCCATACCTCTAAGGCAGTTTGATCAGGTAAATTGTCCACCTATACCAGTTATCTTTCTTAGTTTCTTTTTCTGTTCTTCTCTATATCAAACATACCCAAAATGATTTGCATACAGATACATTTAATTTAGTTTGTACATAGTTCTTGTTATTTTTTAATTTTAAACCCTTGTTGATTATTGGTCTTTTTGCAGCAAATGGCCAGTCTGGTCACCGATTACATGGAATCAAATGGCACAAAGTTCCTGAAGACCTGTGTTCCGGTCAGCATAGAGAAGACGACTGGAGGTCAACTGGTTGTGAAATATGAAAATCTAACAGACAAACAGACCAAAGAGGAAGTCTTTGATACAGTCATGTTTGCCACAGGTGTGTGCCTCAGCTCCCTTACAAAAACTATCTGATATATACATGTATTTGTTCAATTTTGAACACATATTAATGAAAAGTTTTTGCAGGACGACATGCTGTGGTGAGAAATCTTAATTTAGAAGGAATAGGAGTAGAGATTGACCAAACAACACAGAAAGTTATTGGGGACCATGGCGGGGACCATGAGAGGAGCAGTGTTCCAAATATTTATGCTATAGGTGATATATTACATGTAAGTCAGTGCAAGTCATGTGATATATTATTTGTATGTCGGTGCAAGTCATGTGATATATTACATGTAAGTCAGTGCAAGTCATGTGACATATTACATGCAAGTCAGCACAAATCAGGTGATATATTACATGTAAGTCAGCAGTGCAAGTCATGTGATATATTATTTGTATGTTGGTGCAAGTCATGTAATATATTACATGTAAGTCAGTGCAAGTCATGTGACATATTACATGCAAGTCAGCACAAATCAGGTGATATATTACATGTAAGTCAGTGCAAGTCATGTGACATATTACATGCAAGTCAGCACAAATCAGGTGATATATTACATGTAAGTCAGTGCAAGTCATGTGACATATTACATGCAAGTCAGCACAAATCAGGTGATATATTACATGTAAGTCAGCAGTGCAAGTCATGTGATATATTATGTATGTCGGTGCAAGTCATGTAATATATTACATGTAAGTCAGTGCAAGTCATGTGACATATTACATGCAAGTCAGCACAAATCAGGTGATATATTACATGTAAGTCAGTACAAATCAGGTGATAATTACATGTAAGTCAGTACAAATCATGTGATATACTGCAAACCAACTTTTATTTGCGTGCGAGAAATTTTCGTGAGGTTCGCGAGAGCCTCGCCATCGCGAATTTTCTCGCTGCGAACTGGTCCTTAACATCTCTCTGTCAATTAACAACAGATCCAAAAAAGGCTTGATCACGAATATTAATCGTTGCAAACTAGTTTACTCCCGGTATATCACAAAATAAAGTCGTCGCGAATAAAAGTTGGTTTACAGTATTACATGTAAGTCAGTACAAATCAGGTGATATATTACATGTAAGTCAGTACAAGTCATGTGATATATTACATGTAAGTCAGTGCAAGTCATGTGATATATATATAACATGTAAGTCAGTGCAAGTCATGTGATATATTACAAAAAATGTACATATTTAAGTCAGAGCAAGTCATGTGCTATTTTATTTGTAAGTCCGTGCAAGACAGGTGATATATATTTCATGTAAGTAAGAACGAGTCATGAGATATAATACAGGTTAGTCAGTGCAAGTCATTTGATATATTACACATTTAAGTCAGTGCAAGCCATGATATTTATTTCATGTAAGTCAGAACAAGTCATGTGATAAATTACACGTACATCAGTGAAAGTCGTGATATATTACATGTAAGTATCATTTGTGTGATATATATCTCAATTCAATTTAAAGAGTCAACAACTATCGCTGGCTGGAGTATCAGTATAAAGTATTGTCTTACCAGTGTCACAAAAATCATGTTGAGAAAGTACTGCTTATGCGGCATTCATTACTGTTACATATCTTTAACCCATTCACTGGATCAGGGTGGGACACAAAAATTCACAGGAAAAGAAAATATTGCCCTACATTTTAAATTGTTTACCAAAAATTTATATTTTTGCTGTAAATCTTGCTCTCACAACACTTGAAATTTTGTTAGATGCATGACAACATGTAAAATTATCAAGCAAAAATTGTATTGTACCTAACAGGTATCAAACTTTCCCTTAGGTGGAATGTGTTTTCAATTATGATGTAATTTGGTCAGTAGAAATATATGATGGAGAGAAAAATAACCAAAGCAACTCAATGTGTGTGTCAACTTGAAATTTAATCTATAAATTATTTGCTCTGCAGTGCCATAATTACTGTCTGTTCTAACACAGAATCAGAAAGATGCTTCACTATCATGAGAAAAATGCAAACTGACTGGAAAAGAGATTCTTTCAATGTTCAATGAACTACAGGCTATCTTAATACAAAATAGAGCATCGACCTTGGCTTCTTTTGTTATGAAATTCTAAAAGATGTTTGCATTATTCAGTATTTGGTTAAAAAAAATTCTCACATGTATGACATGAATATATTTACATATGTTGTGAATTATAATATACTTACTAGTAACAAAACACAAAAGTGGTGGGGGTGTTATTTTTTTCATACCAATATATTGTTATGATGTATATTATTATTTGGAGTTTACAATATTTGGCAGATATTATTTTTTCAACAAGTTACTGTAAAATCACATATTTTCTTTGGGTCATATTTTCGAGGTTTGAGGAAAAAATATTGGTTTGTGGGGATTTGATTTCGTGGTTGGAGAGTGTTTAGTAAGTAATGCATATAAAGTTTTCATTTTGTGTGGTCATTAATTTGTGGGTCTCACAATACCTCGAAAACAACAAAAATTAAACCCCGATGAAAATTAGTGATTTCACAGTAGTTTAGATTGGAATTAGGTTTTTCAATGTGCTTTAAATGATTAGATATACTTAAGCCATTTACTAAGTCATGCTTTTTCTGAGCTGATGTTTCTGTGAATAAATGGCCTCTAAAATTGGTTGTCTCTTTCATAAATACCAAAAAATATAACACATTACAAAAATACTTATGATAAAATAGGAAACAGATTGATGTGCATCCAAAACAACGCTATAATTTGAAATTTTTATAATTGATTACTTAAAAAAAAAATTACCCCATTCCAGAAAAGGCCAGAACTGACACCAGTAGCTATAAAGGCTGGGCAGCTATTAGCAGAGAGACTGTTTGGGGGTAGTCAAGTACAGATGAACTATGATCTGGTTAGTATCTTTATATATGTAATATTTTCTAAATCCATTCTTTGTTATAAAGTAAAAAAAATTACTGTCTGAAGACACTGATCATACAGTGTTTTACCGTAGGTGCCGACCACAGTATTTACCCCCCTGGAGTATGGGGTTGTGGGTATCTCTGAAGAAGAGGCCATAGCACGACATGGGGAGGAAAATATTGAGGTGAGGAATTCACATCTCAATACTGTTTATAGTAAAAGGAATCATTCAGTTTATGAGATACGGGTGGATTTAAGCCCTGATTTTCTATACTGGAAATTGTTAAATAGATAAATGTACAGCTTTAAAATTGGATGATACTATTAATTCAAATGAGATATTAATGTCTGGGATCTTTTGTCACGGAAAATATTAGCATGATATAACATCTGCTCAAATAGTCCAGTGATTTTTTTTCCACCTAAGTTTGGTGCTACATCACTCAATATGGGTAGTGTGATTTTGTAAGCTTCCATCTTACAGTGAATGTGAGAATCAGAATTGTATTCAGATAAAATGAATAAGGGCAGCACAAAGTCTGATGCAAGTATTGAAATAGAGGGTACAATGTAACTAAAAAACAAAATGACTGCACAAGTAGTAAATGGGTTGTTTTATCTTTCCATTGTATTTTAACACTTAGACTCCAGCTGCTGATGAAGTAATGATTTTATTTCGTTCGTTATACTTACCAGTCATAAATATACATTAGGATATCTTCCCCTTATTAACGTTCATAACTCGCGGGCAAGCGTTTAAAAGAATAAGATTCAAACACTTATAAGACCGAGATCACATCTCAGGTGCTTGCCCAAATCAGTTCATCTTCCGGCGTGCAACAGAACGTTCATACTTTTTTGGCAGAGATTTCTCAGCCACGGAGTGATACAAATACTTTGTATTTGTATAAGGTATTGGTATAGATACTCTCTCATGCTCTTAGTTTAAGTATGGAAGAAGCCAGTTTTATTTCGAACGACGAATTAAATTCGGGCTCGGAATTCCAGAATTTACAGTCAGTAATGGAGGCCAAAGGAAAAAAACCGCGGTCCGGTAGGAAATCCTCCAGCAAAGCTAACGAGAAAATGGAACAATTAGAAAACAGAGTCAACGAAAGGTTAGACACTATGATGAATTTTTTAAGAGAAAGTATTCAAACTTTGTCCAGCAGTGTTTTAGAGAATACAGCTTCTCATAATGTACACGAGACAAACGTGTCTCATAATTCGTTAGCGGATCAGGATACCGGTGGTTTATCCACGCGGAGACCTGAGCCCATGGTATCAAATGTAGACGATTCATCTGGAATGCATCCGATTATACCTTTGGAAAGTGAAGTCCAAATTGAAGGGACATTAAGTGTGCCTGAAATGGACGATATGATATCATTAGCTCCAAGTGTCAGAGAAGTACGTGAGCTATTGGGTGATAACGAATCCTCAGTTCAAGAGGAATCTATTACTGCCCATGATTTTGATAACAATCAACATAAGTTGGACAGCAACAACAACAATAGATTTCAGAACTTGATCAATAAAAGTGACGAGCATACAAAAACTCTAACTGATATTTTTGGCAATGTTTCGTCTTCAGAGGAAGAAAAAACTGGATTAGTTTTAGACAAAACACAAGAGGAGATCTTGAAAAAGTCATGGAGAATTACTGATCCTGAACGCTTGTCTGCTTATAGAGATGAATATAGACAATGTTTCCCTGTTCATCCAAACTCGGCAGCATTTCTACAAGTTCCAGGGCTAGATGACATTTTAGAACCAATGTTAAGAAAAAAACACGGAAATAAAACCAAAGGTTGGGGGAAAAGTAAACATTTAATTTCCCAGCCGTACAAAAGTATTGAAACTTTGGCATATCAGGGACAGATGGCTGCCCGTATGGGTATTATTTCATTAAGCTACATGCAGCAAGCTTTAGGAACGTTGTTAGATTCTATAACTTGTCAAGATGCGGACACAGTTCAAGCAATTAAAGACATTTTCTCCATGTCTACCAAGGCACTAGATCAAATGGGTAGAGCAGGGGCTTTTCACCATCTTATAAGAAGGAAAACTGCAGCACAAGACTCTGGATTATATACCTTGAAGGATATTCATAGCAAAATTATTTGCCTGCCTCTTTCAGAAGATGGCGTCTTTGGCAAGAAATTAGAAGAGAAACTAAAAGAAAGGAAAGAGCAGAAAGATTCTCTTAAGGATTTAATTCCAGAATGGAATGAAAAAAATCAGAAACGCAAATTTTCAGAAAATTCTGCTGAAAACTCTGGAAATTTTAAAAAACCCAGAACTACTACTGTGTTGAATAACAGTTACAGAACAGCTACTCAGAGACCCAATTACTCAAGACGGTCTTATGACTACAAACCAAGAGAGGACAATTCGAGAAATACGTCTACATCTGCTACAGTAGACAGAATTGGCTCCTTTCGGATCCCAAAGAAATCTAATAAATGACTGGAGATTAGAACAGGTAACCAAAATTGCAATGCTTCCCGAGATACCAGTTGGGGGTCGTCTCAAACTTTTTGTAGAAAACTGGAATCTTGTAACTCAAGACAGTTGGGTATTATCAATAATCAACGAGGGTTACAAACTAGAATTTCTTCAAAAACCCCAGTTTTTAGGGGTAAAGAAAACAACAATCCCTCAAATACAAAAACATTGTTTGTTAAAAGAGGTAGAAGATTTATTAGAAAAAAATGCAATAGAACCTGTCTCAAATCAGGAGAGTCAAACAGGTTTTTACAGTACATTTTTCCTTGTCCCCAAAAAGGGTGGCAAAATGAGACCCATCATAAATTTGAGACCCCTCAACCAGTATCTCAAGAAGCAACATTTCAAAATGGACACTTTAAACAAAGTGTTGAATCTAGTGAAACCAAACGATTGGGCAATTTCAATCGATTTAACAGATGCATATCTACACATTCCAATATTTTCAAAACATCGAAAATTTCTAAGATTTTGTGTAGAAAACCAGTGTTATCAATGGAAAACAATGTGTTTCGGCCCAACATCAGCACCTCGAGTTTTCACCAAAATGGTGTCTGTAGTAGCAGCATATTTGAGAACACACAATATTCGTCTAGTAGTTTACCTAGACGATTGGTTAATAGTAAACCAATCAAGAGAAATGTTATATCAAGATCGACAGAAGTGCCTAAATCTATTGGTTTCACTAGGTTTCATAATAAACAAAGAGAAGTCTTGTCTAGAACCCACTCAGGAAATTGTATACCTGGGAGCTTTGTTTTTATTCAGACAAAAAATAGTACTTCCATCTCAAGACAGATTGATAAAATTGGTACAATCAACCAAAATGTTAATGCAGGGTCAGAAAACAGCCAAAGATTTTCTACAATGGTTGGGAATAGTAGCCTCATGCATAGATCTTATTCCAAATGCTCGTCTTTACATGAGACCTGCTCAGTTACATCTACTAAGTTTTTGGAAACCAAGCTCTCTAGATTTGGAGAAAATAGTCCCTATTACACCACATCTAATACAACACCTACAATGGTGGTTATATTCAGTGAACATTTCCAGGGGCAGATCTTTGCAACTGGAAGAAATTGGGGTGACCATAACCACAGATGCATCCTTGACAGGGTGGGGGGGTCACCTAAACAATCAAATAGTTCAAGGACATTGGGACAGTTGTCACAAAGGTCTTCATATCAATTGTCTAGAGATGGAAGCAGTGTTTTTAACTCTGAAACATTTTCAAAAACAAGTACAAAACAGAACAGTTTTGATCAGATGCGACAATACGACAGTGGTTCAATACATCAACAAACAGGGAGGAACCAAATCTCCACGTCTTTGTTATCAGACATGGGATTTGTGGAACTGGGCAATAGGTCACAATATCAAGTTGAAAGCTGCTCACATAGCAGGAAAATCAAATATTCTGGCAGACCATTTGAGCAGGGTCAAGATCAGACAAACAGAATGGATGTTGAACAGACAAATTGTTCAGAGAATTTTTCTATTATGGGGTCAACCTCTGATAGACATGTTTGCATCTATTCACAATCGTCAAACGCAGATCTTTTGCACTTGGTTTCCTCACAGCCAAGCATATGCATTGGATGCCCTGACGATATCTTGGGAGGGGATGTTTCTGTATGCTTACCCTCCGATTTGTCTAATTCCCAAAGTTCTTCAGTACATCAGACAGTTCAATTGTCAAGTAATTCTGATAGCTCCCTGTTGGCCACGGAGACCTTGGTACACAGATCTACTTCAGCTTTTAATCTCAATACCAAAAAGACTTCCAAACATTCCAAATTTACTTCAACAACCAAACACAAAAATTTATCATCCAAATCCAGAAGTATTTCAACTAACTGCATGGCTTCTATCGACAGAGGTTTCAAAAAGAAAGGGTTTTCTAAAGACACTAGAACCCTTTTGGCAGCAAGTTGGCGAACAGGAACACAAAAAGATTATTCCTGTAAATTCAAACAATTCAGTAGCTGGTGTAGTTCAAGGGAAATTGATCCCTATTCAGCCTCTTTAGTTGAAGTAGCAAGTTTTTTGACAGATCTGTATACCAAAGGTCTTCAGTATAGAACTATTGCAGGTTACAGGTCAATGCTGTCCTCAGTACTACCTCCAGTAGATAATGTTTCTGTAGGACAACATCCTTACATTATCAGACTCATCAAAGGAGTCTTTAATTCCAGACCACCAAAAGTTAGACTAGTCCCAGAGTGGGATTTACCAAGGGTTCTTGATATGTTGCAAGTTGCTCCTTTTGAACCTATAAAAAATGCATCATTGAAACATTTGACGTACAAAACTGTTTTTCTGATAGCTATTACTACTTTCAGGAGATGCAGTGATCTACAATCTCTCAGACTGGGGGAAGGATTTGTCAATGTTCAGAAAAAAGGAGTAACTTTCATCAGAGAAGGTTTGGCGAAGCAAGATAGACCCAACCATTTTGGAGCAAAAATATTTGTTCCCACATTTTCAGAAAACAAGTTACTGGATCCAAAAAGATCTTTGTTTTTCTATTTGAAGAAAACAGAAACTCATAGAAAAAAACTGAAAACAGATTGCAATAAATTATTTCTGAGTTTACTTGAGCCACATCAAGCTGTGACATCTCAGACCATTTCAAAATGGATTGTTCAAACTATACATATGGCTTACGAAAACAAA